CTCTCTCTCTCTCTCTCTCTCTCTCTCTCTCTCTCTCTCTCTCTCTCTCTCTCTCTCTCTCTCTCTCTCTCTCTCTGCGTGTGTGTGTGTGTGTATCCTTCCTTATTGCTGCATCCTTTACTGTGCAGACACCCCATTGTATGATGTGGCCTGGTCTTCACTCTTACGAACAATGAGTGAAGCACCGAGCTCAAGCAAAAAGATAAGGAAGCACAGTGCAGCAAAAGATTGTCAGGAATATGCCCTTTTCTTTTCAACGTGGCACCCGTGATCACGCCCATGTTGCAATCTGTTTATCTCAGAAATTGTCATCAGCGGATAACTCCATACCCTTTTTCCTTTCTCATTTAATAAATTCACTTTGTACCATAACATCTAACATAACACATACAGACAAAAAGAGATAAGAACATATTCTGACAGTACAAAAAAAAAGAAATTCGTTGGGAGGGGCTTGCAATGCTCAGGCACAACACAACTGAATCTTCACCGGGAACCTTATGACGAGCAGGTTTATTGCGCACTCCCCCTTGTGCACACCCCCACAACACCCTCAAGAGCAAGGGGAGAGGGTAGGGACTTCGTAAGGGACGACTTTCTGACCACCCTGTTCACGACCTGGCTACAGATCCCTTTCCCGAACACGCCCTCTTCCCCACACACGATGAGGAGATTCTGTGTCAGCCCCTCTTCGACAAAAGGTGGATCACCAACCATCACGCTCGGAGTACCCCTGGACCACCTGCATGAAACACGCGACGTCACGGGTTACAGGTTACACGACATTACGGGTAAGGGATCTCTGGGACCCAGAAGCAAAGGACTGGAAAACAGATCGACGACTCAGACTGGTCCTGCATTTCGTGCATTACGCACACAGGATTCCAGACAGCCTCAAACAACTTCTCTTCTTGATCCTGCTTGCATGGGCCGTTAATTGCCTGCGAAACGGCCCCACCCTTGAGGAATCATACTGGACAGGTTACACCGGGACCAGAAGGGGCCTTAGCTACCCGGGGGAAACGGCCGAACACCCTGTAACGGTGAGAAAAGACGAGGGAGCCCCCATCATCAGCAAACATAGTGAAAGCCAGACCAGAATGGGGGCTAGTTAACCTCTTTCAAGGGCAAATGCAACCATTCCGTGGTCAGGATCTTCCTGGCCAGGGCAGAGCGCACAACAAGGAAGACCTCGACCATGTCTGCTCCGTACTCCGTTTCCAAGACGACAATGGATGATGAGTCTGTTGCTTGAACTTGCCTCAACCTACAAAACTTCGGCCCTCGCAGTACACCCGGCCAACTGGAGCTGGAAGAGGGGTAAAACCAGACAGGCACATAAGTTTCCCACCCTGACAGTCAAAGCTACTTACCGAACGCTGAGACCCCGGGTAGATGTGCAGAGAGATGGGGTGCGGAACGTTAAACCATACATCGGCTGTGGGCATTTCACGTTAACACGCCGCGACCTGCAGGCTTCGGGGTACCGGACCACAACGGCTGGAAGCGCCAGCCAAAAAGAAAATGAAACAGCGCCCCGGCGGTTACGCAAAACTTCGCACGCAGGGGGTTGTCTGGCTCAGCATCGATAGCTGGGCCAAGTACTGGTGGTTTAAAGCACAAGTACACAGCCCCAGCGTTGCAGCAAAACATCTGGTCGCCACAAGATTGTTTTTGCGGCTAGGGCCTATCGGACCACAAAGGCTGGCGCCGCCAGCCAAAAAAGAATGCAAGTGCCGCGCTGGCATTTCGCAAAGTGCGCCGCTGGCGGTTCTGAAAAAGAGGGCTGGGTGTACTGGTCGTTTAACATCAACGCAGACAGCTTTCGCCAGCCACATCAAGTGGTTCCCAAGGCCTAAAAGACCCATCCAGCCAAATTTGCCTCCCTACAATGACAGATAGTTCACTGTTGCCTACCTACAAAGGACTGGCTGATCGACGACACACACATAGAACAAAAAGGCATCACCCTACCACATGGTGAAAAACCCTATCAGGCAGGCTTCCCCAGCCGCAGGATTTGGGAGACCATCGAACACATCGTTCTGCAATGCCCAGGCTCGGTCCTCACGTAACGCTGGTGGGACATAATATGGCAACAGATGGTCCATGTGGATTGGCTCTGGGAATGGAGGACAACCCTTCTGGGGACCTGCCAACCGCCCAACCCATCTACTTACACCATCTACTTCTCAATCAGTAGAAAGGCAGTACTTCGGCGGTTTTGTGGTGGAAGCGCTGCGTGGTCGCACTGGAAGGGGTCAAGCTGAAGGGGGCTGATGTCTCAGAAACAAACAGACAATCCATTAAAACAGAACTGCTATAGCCCAAAAGAAAGCAGAAAAAGGGAAAAAAAAATTGCAAACATTCACACAAAAAGCAGACATCAAGAATGCTAAATCAATCCTGTTCAGACTGGCTGGGGGGGGGGGGGGGGGGGGGGGGGGGGGGGGGGGGGGGGGGGGGGGGGGCGTTGCAAGGAGGGATGGATAGCGCGAATGTGGAATGGCCAGTGGGGGAGGCGAAGCCGCACTCATCGACTATACTCTTAAATTCCATGCTTGATAGAAGATCCTGACATGTTCCCACCGTCTCAGTTTGGTTGAGCTGCAAGGGTATGGCCAGGCTACATAAGTAGAGCTCAATACGGGCTCACTGGGTCCCAGGGCTGCGAGCCAGCTAGCAGAAATTACCTGTCTGATGGTCCTTTTATGACTTAAGAGGCAGAAATTACCTGTCTGACGGTCCTTTTATGACTGAAGAGGCAGTCCTCAACCATCTGATTATGTATCTTATCTTTTCTGTGTACGGGACGATGGACCGGTTTTCCAGCAGGTGCCACTCTCAACCAATAGAATGGAGTCATGAGACGGAACGACAAGCGGTTGGTTTTCTTATCACCACCACCAGCAAGACCGGCAGACTTAAAAAAAAAAGAAGAAGAGAGGAAAAAAAGAACAGGTAGAAAGGTCCACATGATTCCACGTATGCATGAGCCTTTAACAAACTGAGGGTAGTCCCAGCACAGGTACTGACTGGGGCAGGGGAGAAAATGATGAACGACTGACCAAGGAGAGAGCGCAAAGATAGACAAGAAGCAGAAGGAAGATGGGTAAAGAGGGGTGGAGGTCAGGTGTTGTGTGTTTGGTTGAGAGATAGCTAGCACTGAGGAGAATGGGACAGAGGGAGGAGGGAGGGAGGGAGAGGGAGG